ACAATAGTTGATTATATTATCTCATAATCAATATCTAAAAATAGGAGTCAATAATAGGTCATCTAGTACTAAGTAAATTTCTTGTAAATGAATAGTTGATACACATTTATATTAAACAAAAATTACGTATAAAATAACAACATAAAAGATACAAACATGCATTAGCTGATTCTATTACTTGATAATCAACATCTAATGATAGAAGCCGATAATAGATCCTTAATCTTAGGTTAATTTCTAATATAAAAGATAATTGATAGATATTTATATCAAACCAAAAACTCTACGTAATAATTTCACACATAAAATTGATTGATAAAATCTTCATTTCAACACAAACCTCACAACAAATAAACACATATCCATGCATAACATTTCCACACCTAGACCAAACTATTATACCTTAAATAAATCTAATATTCACAACTTCATCGTATGGTATTGATTCTGACCTTATCCTACTTAAAAAAAAATAGTAACATCATACTCTTGAGGTTACAATATAATGGTATGAATCTTAAGACTTCAAGTATTCATCAACAATCATAAAAAATAATAAAAAAATAATCCAAAGTAAAAAATAAATTATTCCATAACATGTTAAAATTATTCAAAAATTCATTTAGATTTAAAATTTACTTTCTAGAATAGCAGGGATATTTCAAAATCTGCTGAATTAAAATGAAATAATAGTTATAATATGAGTAATACAACAAATAAACACATATCCATGCATAATATTTCCACACCTAGACTAAACTATTATACCTTAAATAAATCTATTACAATTCAATATTCACAACTTCATCATATGGTATTGATTCTGACCTTATCCTACTTAAAAAAAATAGTAACATCATACTCTTGAGGTTACAATATAATGGTATGAATCTTAAGACTTCAAGTGTTCATCAACAATCATAAAAAAAAAAAATTAATAAAAAATAATCCAAAGTAAAAAATAAATTATTCCATAACATGTTAAAATTATTCAAAAATTCATTTAGATTTAAAATTTACTTTCTAGAATAGCAGGGATATTTCAAAATCTGCTGAATTAAAATGAAATAATAGTTATAATATGAGTAATACCAGCAGTTGAGATCACGCTCAACTATTTTTATATCAATAAATTAAAATAATTTTAAAATATTAATTTAAAACTAAAAAAATTAAAACATTTTTTAATAGCGAAATAGGGCATTCTTCTTTTTCTTTTTAATCATTTTATTTTATGTCCTTCTAATTTGGATTGGATTTGGCATGTTAGGTTTTTATCAAGTTAATTATATCTTAACTTATTTTAAAATTAATAATTTTAAAATTACATGCTTAGTTTTCATATTAATTCATCAACTTCGTATTCTTTTTCAACTTATTTATTTCTTTTTTGAGTGGCAGAAAGTGGAAAAGATGAGATGAGAAAATTGGATGGCAATTATGGAAATGTAATACATGTTAAAGGACTCAATTGATAAATTGATTTGTTTCGATATGAAATTGACAAGAGGAAATAATTTAAATGGACTTTATGAAGACGTAACATACAGAAACACAAGGACACGCCAGTAGCTACGAGCGATAAGTCTCCCCTAACAGCTTGCTTGCGGATTGCATTTGACGAACCTTCTTTTGATCCTTAATTTTGTATCTCTATTATTATTATTATTATTATTATTAGAAATCATAAAATTTATTGCTGCTGATGTTGAATTGTTTTTGCTTCGTTCTGATAAGAGTTGCTTTACATGGTGGACAACCCTGCAAATTCCGGAAACGCCCACAATCTGGATTCTAGGGTTCTGATTTCCATCGTTATACCAGCTCTCCCCCATCGGTAAAATCACTTTCTATTCACCAATTCAATTCAATTGCTTATTTCCTCGATGTTGCTGTGTTGTTTTTGTTTTATTTATTTATTTATGGGAGATTTTTCAATTTATATATATTTCGTTTTTGTGATGTCAAGTTTTCATTCTTTATTAGTATAAAACCAGAATAATTAGCAAGAAGTTTTGATCTTTAATATTTACGTGCTGATGATCACAGGGTAATGGGGGACTAGGGAGCCAAACAATGATTAGACCTGAAAATTGTGGTACTGGGTTATGTGGAGTCTCTGAGGATGGGAATGATGAGAAGAGTGAAGGAACAAAAGCTACCCATCAAAAGTTTAGGAATTACTTTTATTATGACATGCCCCTTTATGAAGAAACTGGAGCTTGGATACCGGTTTCTGTCCCGCCCATGATAGAAAGCGATTCTGAAGAGTGGGTGGATAGAGGTTTTCACTTCAATGGTGGTTATTTTCCTGAAGGTGATATGGGGTGGAGTCAGTATATTGGAGAGGACAAGGAGTTGACTATGTGGGATGTGATTGTAGAAATGTTACTTGCAGCTCGTGGAAAAGTGAATGCAATTGCTTCTGGTGATTTACAGGGGTGTGGGATTTCGTGGTTATCCAGCCATTTACTTGAGCAAGCTTGGCAAGATATGGCTCAGACACTCAATGAAGCTAATTTTGGTAACGTGACTGAAATTCTTGAAGCGGAGCCTCCTAAATGGTTACCTGATAGCAATGCTTCTGCTTGTATGCTTTGTAGCATGCGGTTTCATCCAATTATGTGCTCCAGGCATCACTGCAGGTTCTGTGGAGGAATATTTTGTGGTGATTGCTCTAAAGGAAGGAGTTTGTTGCCAGTAAGGTTTCATGTCACAGATCCCCAGCGAGTCTGTGATGTATGCTGTGTGCGACTTGAATCTGTTCAGCCATATTTGATGGACCAAGTAAGCAATGCTGCCCAGCTACCAACCCATGACCTGACAGACCTCAGCACTTTGAGATCGTGGGTTAACTTCCCATGGGGACAGACCATGGGATATGAGATTTATAAAGCAGCAAACACAATTCAAGGTTATAATAAGGTAATTTTTTAAGATCCCATGCTTTCTTTAATTTCTTTTGCCATTATTGCTGAGGCTTAACAAATTCTGTTCAAGTCATTAAAAGTCCATCTAAATTGGGTGTTTTGCCCTATATGACCTCCTTTTCAATGAGAACTGAAACAAGAAAACCTGCTATCTAGAAAAGCTTGTTTTGGCCTATATTTCTTCTTGTTTTCTCCTTTATATTCAGCTCTTTCTCCTTTTATTTATAAAAAAATTGAGACGAAAAAAAATAAAGAAAACTTGATGGCAACTTGTATTTTGCAATGGTTGTAACTGATTAGTGGGAGAGGAACTCATGGATCTGTTCTGCTGCATAGCCAAATATCTCTTGTGATATCATGCTCCGTTTAATTCTGATTTGGTGCATTTCTGCTGACAGGTAGGTTATTTGAAACCTGAGAAGTCAATTCCAGATGCCATCCTACGACGAGCAAAAGGCCTTGCAATAATTACAATTGTGAAAGTTGGGGTGATGGTTACTTACAATGTTGGAACAGGACTTGTAATTGCTCGCAGAGAAGATGGTTCATGGTCTCCACCTTCTGCCATATCTACACTTGGTGTGGGATGGGGAGCTCAGGTAAATTTATTTTTCTCAATTTAGATTTCCTGTTAGAATTTTAGAAGGTGTTGTGCTAGGCAAATATGGAAACCATGGGATCACTATTCCTGACAATATTCTGATTTAAAAAAAAATATAACATTGTTTTTTTTAAAAAAAAATGGCAAAATAAAATAGATTAAAATTTTTTGGCAAAATAGCATAGTTTGTACATTTCGCAATTAGAAAACACAACATTCAAACTTGTTGCTATTCAAAAACACATAATGTAAAGAAATTGTGAAATGGTACACTTACATGTTTTTAAACAGAGAATACTAAGGAATATTAGGGTATTTTTAAAAGAGTAGGGGAAAAAAAGGAAGTCAAAATTAAGTCCATCTTGGTTACAGTTTTTAAACAGAGAATACTAAGGATTATTAGGGTATTTTTGTTTATTAGCACTTTTTTAAAAAAAAATTGGCTGAATAACACAATTTAAAAAAGTTTTGGCTAAATAGCACGGTTTTTATATGTCACAATTGAAAAATGCGACATTCGAAGTAGTTGCTATCTAGAAAAGTGAAATTTAAGGAAATTATAAAATGGGCTGGCACAATTTACGATGAGGGGAGAGGAAAGATAAAAAAGAAAGAAAGAGATTCTGAAGGCATATCGAAGCTCTGGTTACGACATTATTGATACCATTAGAAAGATGTTGAGAGGAAGAATCCAATAATATAAAAAAAGATCACTAATGTTGATTGAAGTGGGTCACTTGCCGCCCAAAGGTAGCGAGTGGCTCACTTGTCTTTGGCGACAAGTGTGACTCAATCCTATCAACATTAGTGATCCTCTTTGGTGTTGTGGAATTTGTCTTATCGAGATATTTCTGATGGTATGCTTTGGTGTGCCTTTGGAGTCTCATTTTTTCTCTCTTAACTCTCCTCATCATAACTTGTGCCAGCCCATTTTACAATTTCCTTGCATTCCACATTTTTGGATAGCGACAAGTTTGAATGTCGCGTTTCCCAATTGTGACATGTAAAAGTTGTGCTATTTTGCGAAAAGTTTTTTAAACTGTGCTATTTGGTAATTTTATTTTTTTTAAGAAGTGCTAATAAACAAAAATACCCAAATATTCCTTCCTATTTTCTGTTTAAAAACTGTAACCAAGATGGACTTGATTTTGACTTGCCTTTTTTTCCCGGCTCCTTGACAAATTGTAGGCACTAACCTTTTAGTGCTCCTGAAAGAACATTACTTCGATTATGCAATTGTTTCATATTTGCAAAGATCTCTGCATAATGATGACCATGTATGTTGTGGTGAAATTCATATTGCTGATGGCATGTTTTTTCTGCAAAAAATTCCTTGAGTTCATATCCCACCATTTTTATGCAAGGGATGACCAGATGTGTCTGTCACTCAACACAATAAAATCTTGATTGCAACTTCAAATAGAATTATCAGTGTTTGGATATTTTTCTTGCCTTCCTTTGGTTTCTATAATGGAGGGGTCACTTTGTTTGCAGGCTGGAGGTGAATTGACTGATTTCATAATTGTGTTGAGAACTACTGAAGCAGTCAAGACATTTTGTGGTTATGCACATCTGTCATTAGGTGCCGGTGTAAGTGCAGCCATTGGCATCACTGGACGTGCATTTGAAGCTGATTTACGAGCTGGTGATGGCGGTTATGCTGCGTGCTATACATACAGCTGCAGTAAAGGTACTTTGTTTTGAGTAATCCGTTTGTCTTTTAAAACAGTTACTATTTGATTTCCAGGGTTCAGGATGTAATGAAAAGCAACCTGAATTTTCCTTTAGCTTTCAGTTTCAGTCCAGTTACTTTACATGAAAGAGCATAGAACTTAATGGGCTTTTTATGTTTCCTTCGCATTTTGTCCTTCATTCATTCTTTTAGAAGATTACCTTTTTCCTGTAAAATAAGTTAGTTTAGACCCTTATCTCCTCCACAAACTAATCCACCCTTTCTGGGACAATGTTTTTACATGCCAATTGCTCCATTAAGCTGTTAAATATGATGATTGTTGAATACACAGGAGCATTTGTTGGATGTTCCCTTGAAGGTAGTGTTGTCGCTACCCGCTCAAAAGAGAATTCCAGATTCTATGGGAGCCAGTCTATATCTGCATCGGATATACTTCTTGGCTCATTGCCCAGACCACCCGCAGCTGCCATTCTGTATCGTGCACTTGTGGACCTCTATCAGAAGCTCGATAGGTGATCATTATCAATAATCTTCAGACAGAAGTCAATTTAAAGAGAAGGGAATCCCTGGTATACAGTCTATCTTTGCATTTTCCAAGTCTGGGACCATGATTGCCATTCTTTTGCTCATCTGATATAGTTGATCGGGGCAGTGTACCGCATGTTTGCCAGAGAATATCTGACTTTGTACACTAGTGAATTGTATAGATTGTACGTTGGGAGTTGATGTACATATAACACACCTTCAACTCTTGAATGAAATTGAATTTATTCCCATTCAATAAAATGTCAGAATGTTTGTTTCATTGAGTAGCTTCTCTTGCAATGATGAACGAAAAAGGTGTGAAACAAGCCTTGGTTGTTTCTGGTTTCTTCTTTTGTGATGGATTACATCCATGAGGTATGTAGCTGAGCTTTGATGAATTTATCTGTGTGTGGGGAAAATAAGAGACAATCGACTGCTTTTTTCCGCCCCTTTCAAAGAAAGCAGCAACCCATGGGTTGATGATGCTTGTCCAAGATGCCAGCCCTAACTCTGGAATTAAGAGGGGGGCTTAAAAGGCATTTAACATCACACGATCATTGGGATAACTTAATAATAATTCCGGCGAGGAGCAACTGTCATTAAGCTTTTGATAATTTGCTCGAGCAAGATGGGGTCTTGATGGGCGGGCGCCACCGCCGCCCAATATTTGTGGTGATGCCTTGACCAGTCATTGTCCTACACATCACTATACAAGTCGTCACTTTGCTTTAGCAACATGGAAACATATATCATCAGCCCATTCCCATGGGTCAAAATGACTATTGCAACGAAAATGATCTGAATGGGTGGTGGCAATGGTGGAGGTTGTTCCCAGATTGAGACTTCGTTTAGAAATTTAGTTGAAATGGTATTTTTTTTATAAAAAAAATTAATTAATTATTTTAATATTTTCAAATATAAAAATATTTTTTAAAAAATAAAAACATATCATTTTAATATTTTTTAAAAAATAAAAATATTTTAAACTGCAACCTACTCAAACAGCTCCTGAATATATGGTTGTTGCCCTTTCTGATTGGTAATGGCAACGGGATTTGCTGATCAGTATGATCAAACCAAAGATGCATCTAATGCTGCAGGTGTGGTCAAACTCCAGAACTAATCGGTTAATATTGAAATTAACTTAACTTTCAATCACAAAACAGAAATCACACCATACAAGTATCAACGCTATGATGGAAACTTCTCTTCTTTCTTTTTTTCCCGACGGGGAGAAAAGGAAAAAAAAGAATCCCAAAAGAAGAATGAATTGAACTGAAGGGGCAAAGTCACCACCATGAACTATTTGTAACTTAATTCTCAGTTCTCTCTTTTCTTTTCTTTTTTTGAAATGAAATAAAGAAAAAGAAGGATGAAGAGGCGCTCCTACTCACTGTACTTCTAACTCGGCTGCCCTGTCGACCGAATGATGCACGATACAAAACAATACATGCTTTACACTCATTCAGCCCGAGATTCACTCCAATTTACCTCGTACTAGGGTTTCCAAGTGTAAGCTCAAGATCATCAGAAACACATTCCTCATGGATCCTCTCTCCTTCCCATGGTTTCACCAACCCTGCTGCGTTACTTCCAAATGCAAACTCAGCTGCCATACTGTCTGACATTGGCACGTCAGCTGTCTGATCAATGCCTGCCGGAACTGCAGGAGAGCATGTCCCGCTTTGTCCAGGAGTCCACATTCGGGACCCTGCACCTGATAACGCCTCCTCTTTAAAGCCAAATGGATTCCGAGACACAAGACTAAATGTTGGTGATGAGGGTCCGCTTTGGGGGATTTGAATACCAGCTAGCCAACCTGAATCTGGTAGAACCTGACGACCAGGACTAGGTGGTGTAGACGAGGGCATAGACGAGGGCAGACATGAGTAGTTCTGCCCCATCCAAGATTGGCCAGCAGCTGGGTCGTCCCAGTCATTTCTAGTACGGGGAGTTCGTGCAGTAGGGGAGCTCAATGGAGGGGTGACGGGAGCACTTATGGAACCAGTGTGAATGAAGAGGTGGTTAGGATGCTTGGGTGAGGCTGAGGATGAGCCGGAAGAGAGGTTTCTAAGCCATGGGATGAGGGAATTGGCATCAGCGTCAACATTACCATTACCATTGGCAGCATAACGGGATGAAACAGGACTAGGAAACGAAGATGAGGCAGGACTTGGATTATAGGATGCACATGGACTCTGACGGTAAGATGAACATGGACTAGCTGATGCAGACCCACCTGTAATATCCATGCGTTCCACAGGTTTGCATCCCTATAGATAAGCAAATAGATGATTCAGTAAAATAAGACAAAATAATTCAAACATCTCAGGAGGTTTGATAAGGAATATATGTCTAGATACAGAACTAGGAACCCAAATGGATGAAAGCTACTATGGCAACACCTTAGATTACGCAATATGAAGTTTTTATTCCTTGCAGGTTTTGAATATCAACCATGATAATCACTCTAAAAACTTTAAACTTTTCATTCTTAGCAAAGCTACAGTACGTGTAATGAAGATAGTAGTATTATATTTGACTTGGAAATAGCTCAGCTGATGGATACACTTAACATCTGAATATCCATGAGTGTTCAAGCAACTCCACAACCGCTATCCATCACGACATTTTTAAGGTCTTAAATGGCAAAAACTTCACCAAACATTTGCACTTGAGCACATATCATCACAGCAGCTTCAATATGTTCTAATGAGCCCATCGACATGACACCTTAAATACCTCAATGGTGCCTCCCAAATTCTGTGTTTTTATTTTTATTTTTTTCCCCTCTCAAAAACTCATACCTCGTCCATCAAAAGCTAGAAAAGCATTGATATTGATCAATTTATAACTTCTTGTTCAAAAAAATTGAAAAAGGTTCTGAAACAAATAAAACTAAATAAATTGCGATTCTTTCACTATACCGAGCCCCTTTCCAGTTAGGGGACCATGGAGCATCACATGCAACCAACCTGTACTGCTCATCTCCTTGCTTGCCAAGCCTAATGAATCTCTTAATGAATTTTTTTAAATCTAGTGACAAATCATCAAGCAGAGTACATGATTCAAATTATAAAAAACATAAAAAGAAATGCAGAACAGGTATTCCACAACCAAATGCTGAGGTCAGGTCATGTTGCAGCACCTTTCTAAGGATAAAAAATCACCGACAATTCGATGAGCCCATAATATTAAAACAGATTTATTAGTGAGACCCATTGTCACTCGTGAACAAATCAACTTGTCACTCGTGAACAAATCAACTCTACTACACAAGCTACTGTGCAGGTGCAGCAACTTCCCGCACAATTTCCTCCTACCCAAAAGAAAAGGGAGAAAAAAAAAACAAAAAGGAAGCCAAAGGTGGGGGGCAAAAGGGTAATTTGGGGCCGACAAAACTTTGTTAAAAGAAGAATTAATGTCAAACAATCAATAAACTGCACCCCACGTCACGCCATCTTCCCGACCCCAACACTTCATATTCAAACAACATTAACCAAACACCCTCTCTCCCTCACAATTTTTGTTGCTTTTAAAAAACAATACTCCATTTCATAAATGGAATCCAAGGATTTGTCATTTATCTCCTTAGTTTTCAACTTTATCGGCACCTGCCTAAGTATTATTATTATTATAGTCGAAGTTGAAATTAAAGGAAGTGAATAATTGAAAATGATTGTTCGAATCTCGAGATAAAAGTCTTACATTAGTACATATGTGAGAGGTTTTACTAAGAAAATGAAAAGAGAGTACCAATTCTGATTTCTGAGGGATCAGGAATCTCCGAAACAGGACAAGTTAAAAGAAAAAAAAAAAAAGGCAAGAAGCGCAATCTAAGAGATGCGTTGTCCTATAATGACCAAGCTACCGCTCCAAACCACTGGAATTTAGCAGAGAAGTGAACGTTTTATTTTTTAATGGTTAAAAAAAAGAAAAAAGGAATGCATAATTTTTTTTTTGTCACCCAGGGTTAATCTGAGAGTTACTGTTTACCGTGTAAATGTAAGAATCAAAGCACGACAAACAGAAACCTCAATCTTAAAATCTCGTGTTTTGTGCGTCATCGAAACAGAAAAACGTACGCTTTCTTCACACCATCAACCAAATCCAAAATCCAACCGTCCATCAGTATGCGCAACACAGACCTCAATCATGAGCCAAGATCACCCGGCGTACTTTAGCATTCAAAAAACAAAAACTCATTTCCAATTTCACAACTTCAAACAGCAGCGAACGATCAAAACAGATTTCAACACAGATTAAGATCTATCTATCACTCTTGATCAAGGAATACTAACACCGCATGCTATCACCAACCCGACCAAAATTCTAACGTAAGCAGCTCATCGGAAAATTAAAGCGAACGTAGTTATTTGCGTACCTTTCGATATGTAGTGCCGTCTTCTTCAACAGTCCAACCAGCTTCGTTGCAGAGAGCTTTAAGCACTTCATTATTGTCACAGTGTTTTGGTAGCTTATAATTCCCGTACATTCTAAGTCCAGCATAGATCTTCGCTGCAATCGCTCTCCTTCTCCTTTCTCTTCTTTTGTTGTTCTCTCGCTCCTTCCACGTCGGCATTCTCGTCCCCGACGTCATTCTTGTATTGACCTTTCTCCCTTTCTATCAACGGAACTGGAAAATATAAGGAGAAATAATTGAATTGATTGAATAGAGTCTTTTGAATTTTCTCGAGAAACAAACGGGTTTGGCGGTTTTTTTTTTGTTTTTTTTTGTTTAATTATAAGAGCGAGTGGTTGAATGAGGGAGCTGGGTTGCGAAGGTCAGCTAAATAGAGAAAGAGGGAATGGAATTTGACCTTGAGAAGTTGATATATTTACGGGAATGCCACTAGAGGCTTTATTCCGGGATCACGGTTTTGGCACGTGTTTAGGCTTTTTATAAAGGGTCAACAGGGAGGGAGGTGTTGGGTGGAGTTTGGACTGATGGGGGTGAAGTTAGAGGAGAAGCTAATGAAGAGAGCGGTGTCGTTTGGTTTATTAATGGGGTAATATAGGAATTGAAAGTAGCTTTCCTTTTGTTTGTTTTTTGTTTTCTTTTTATAATCTTGGCACGGCGAACTTGGACAGACGATGGGACCCTTTTGTGTATTAAGTTTGACCATATGGTCTGTGTTCAAATAATGCCAAATGATGTAATGAAAAGGTTGTTTAGAACAGTGTTATAAATTATTCTTTAAAATATATTTTTTTAAGATATTAAAATAATATTTTCTCAACTATTTAAAAATTTAAAATAATAATTTATATTAAAAAATCCAGCTGCGCCTAATAATCTTTTAGGTCCGAAGGAATGCCCTGGGTTTGAATATTGATTCGTCGAGAATTGCCTAACGCGCGACCCAGTTGCTTGGATTTTATATATATATACATATATATATAGTCAATAAAAGGTTGATTTTTTAAAATTAGTATAATTAATTAAAAATATTAATGCAATAGCATATTAAAAAAAAATGAGCTAAGTAGCATAAGTTATAGATGTTGTAATTAGAAAATATGATTTTTATAACTTGTTTGTATTCGAAATAACAAAATTCTTTAAAAAAGATATTAAATAAACAATAAAAAAATATATTAAAGGTATATCAAAATTCTAATTATGATATTTTTGATACCTTCATAAAAATCTTTACAAGCCAATAATATCAAGAAAAAATACTAAGAATAACTCAAATATGCCATACTTTTTGCTGGAAGGTAGAGAATAGCCCACTTAAATTATCATTAATAATTTTTTTATATTATTAGATTTATTTTATTAAAATTTTTTAAAAAATACTAACAATATTGTAATAAAAAATTTGGTATCTCTATGCTATTTTTATTTTTATTTTTTTCTTTATCTCTCATCTCTTTTTCTCATTTAATACTCTTTAAAGGAAGTCACTATCCTAACAGTGACAAGCTATTAAAGTATTGTTTTTTAATTGCAATATGTATAAAGTATATATTTTTTAATTTTTTTAATTGTGTTATTTCATAAATATTTTAAAAAAATGCTAAAAAACCAAAAATAGCTTAAAAATTATATTAAGTATTGTAAATTTAACAAAAAATAAACACAACATGAATCTATACTAGGTATGTATAGGTTAATGTTGTCCAAAGTTGAAATAAAAAAGGGAAAACTGCATATTTAGTGTCTAATTCTTGATATTTTTATAGTTAAGTGCATCGATTTTCATTTTATTTATTTGAATTAGATATTTTTTATTTTAGTTTATGCAAATAATTAAATTTATTAAATGTTGAAATGTATATTATCTTTTGTGTTATTTTTTATATAGTTGCATCACATTTAACCTTGCCTGTTTGAGCTATTTTCCTTATTTGTGTTTCTTTATTTTTATTCATGTGCCTTTTATTAATTAAATTTATAAGATCTTAACATGTTCATTACCTCATAGGCAAAAAAAATTAATTTTTTTTTAAAATCAGGAAAGTTAGGTATTGAAATAAAAAGAAAAAAAGAAAGTTATATGGATAAAATGCTTAGAATTCTAAATTCAAGAAAGCTAATAAAAAAAAGACTGAGATTTTCTTTTTTATTTATTTCTTTTTTGTCCATCTATTTAGTTTTCCAATTTTGTTTTTGTTTTTTCCAAATTTTTCATCAACACGCATCTTTTACATCTTGTACTGGGAAAACGAATATGTCGACAGAACAAATTCACAACGAGAAACCATCCAATCAGAGAACGCGAAAATGGAAGGGGTGAGGAGCCGGCAGGCACGAATACGGCGGGAACTCGATGGATGCCGATATGCTTCTTGCTGACTTGAATTGGCCGGTTGACTGGCCCTTTGTGTTCGTGGGATCAAGCAGGGTCACTTTTGTCAGTGTCTGTATATATTTATGTGTTCTTGGCTGGCTATAAACATTATCTTCTTTGTTTTCTTTCTTTTTTCGTTCCATGCCCACCGCCATGCCATGATATGTTCTTCCTCCGTCCCCTTACATTTTCTGTCGCCAGACCCTCCCTTCACGTGACCGTGCTCCCAGCCTCTCCTGGTGGCCTTTTTGCGTGCCCAGGAAGCCTCTTGCATGATTAGACGGGCAAGGTGGTCTTACTGTGGGAGGTGTGTGGCTCTGGGGCCCTGCCTATTTATTTTCTTTTGGAAAATTGGGTGATTTGTGGGGCCAACTGGTTTGCGCCACCTTCCAAAGTAAGTGGTTGATCTTTTTTCTCAGCTTGCCGAGCTCACTTTGACAGCGAACTCTGTGGAAAGAGAACGTCACCCTTATCCTGTGACTGATACTACTGTATATAAATGATTTTTTTACCGCGGCCAACCTTTGGATGAACGGTTAAAAGTACCATGAGAAGACAGCAAGATAAAGTGAAAAGTAACTAACACCTCTTGGACATGAAAAAAACACAAAAAATCTTCAAAAATTGTCTAGGCACAATTGTGCAGGGCAAGAACCAAAGTCCCGTCAATCTTTAACTAAAGTTTCTCAAGTTAGTACTTTCTTTGTTTATTATTATTATTATTTTGGTATAAAAAAACAAATGTTTTCTTTAGATTCCATTGATGAAACTCTCAAGCATAGTTTCGTTTTAAATAATTATATTTAAATAATAAGTTTCAATAATAAAGAAACTGTTTGGGAGTGGTTGTACCATAATTTAAAAATTCTTCAATTATTTAAAAAAATAAAAAAAATTAATATGTTTTTATTTTTTTAATGTAATGGTGCTGAAAATAAAAAATATATTTTTTTAATATATTTTTAAATAAAAAATAATTTAACAAGAATACTCTACAGTAAAATCACAAACATAAACTACTTCTTAAAAAAAGCATCATCAAGATAATCTTTTCACATTATATATTAGTATTTGTGAGATTCAATGAGAATTGAACAATCTTTTTAAATTATTTGAATATAATAAATAACTAAAATAACTTTATAGTAAATTAATAACTTTATAAACATTTTCATTTTCTATACATAATGAAATTACTTAAATGCTTCTGGAAGTTTTCTTTTTAAAAAAATATTATAGTTAATATCCTTTTCTTACTGGAGTAACACGTGTTGACATAGCATATTAAGTTTTGGTGAGTTTTTTCCTTTTTTTTTTTGAAGTTAAAATAAAATATAAAAATATCATATTATTTATATTTTATATTCAACGTAGTTATTATTATTTTTATTATTTATTTTTGTTTTAAATTCTCTTTTATTGTACTTTAAAAAAATTATCCTTTATTTTTTTATTAAAATTTTTTTTTATTTGTTTATTTATATTATATAAGGTTAGTCTCGATCTATTCACCAAGATCACAAATTTTTAAGGTCAATATAGATTAACTTTTGCTTTTTAATTTATTTTTTAAATTTCATGCATGAACATTTAATTCTACATGAATTGATTTTTAATTTTTTTTCACTTTACTATTACAATCTTGTATTCATAATCATGAAATCAGCAGGTTGATAATTTTTTTTAATTTTTATTACTTGTTTTAAAAAAAAAATTATAATTTTATTGTTCAACATTAACTTGTTTAATTATTAAATTTTATATTTTTATTCGATTTGTTTTTGTTAATAATTTTTTATACCTCTTACTATCATAAATAATCATTCATTTGATTGGATAAAAATTTATTTCAATAGATATAAATGAATATTTGAATTATATTTCAAAATTAAATATTTTAATTTTAGTTATTTTTAATTAAATATTAATTTATTTATTAAGATGCGTTTATAAACATTTTAATTTATGTTTGAAAATTCTTTAATATCTAAAAACATATTAAAAAAGTCTATATGTTTTTTTTTTTAATTTAAAAAAATATCGGACTTGTGAGGGTCAAAAAACAATTACAAGATAGGGATGTGACTCCTACATACACCTAAAGTCACGCTCCAAAAACTTAGCCATCTCACACGTGCGCCGAGGACTCCAACTGGTCATCACTGAACTAGATTGGACTACACGCACGCACGCACGCACGAGCTCCCACTTTCTTTTTGGGTAAACCTCATACAAGTCCCTAAAGTTCAAAATAATTTTCAATTGGGTCCTTAAATTAAGTTTCTGTGACCTGTACCTCCAGTTAATATTTCCTATCTAAAGTACCTATCCCATGAAGCAAAAACAACGATTTAAATGAAAAATCCTAGAAAATTAAAAATTTAATTGATAGAAAGAATATAATCCTAGGGAACTTACAGGAGGCTATTTTTCTGGTACCTGTCATCCCCGATGAGCGTGGCAAAAATTACGGGTGGGGGTGAGTGGAGGATCATATGATGGAACTTTTGACAGGAGAGGGAGATATGGGGACCACTTTATCATTATTTTAAATGTAGGAGGAGCACCCAGTCTCATCATGTCCGTTAAACTGGTGGGGTCCAGTGATGCCCCGATGTGCTCGCCACCGAAGAGGCATTGCCTTTGCATGACATCCTTCTTCACCACGGAGATTTTTCTGATGCCACTTCTCCACACGGTTATCAAAACATTGTAATTAAATATTATTTATGTCATGGCTAAGTTTTAAGTTAAAATCTGATCAGATTAATTAAAAAAACAACAATTGTTTTAGCTAAAATAATTGATTTAAATTGGTATAATAACTCGAGTTAGTTGGCAAGTGTATTTTTACTTTTTAAATATTTATCATGTCAAATCATTTTTAAATAAAAAATAAATTTTTTTATTAATGTAGGTGTTTGGATTAGTTTACATATATTTTAATTAATTTTATATAGTTTAAAATTAATGATTATAT